GAGTGTCCATGAAAAAACTACAGTTAACATCATACTATATGGCGATTCCTTTACCCTTAAAATCAAGCACAAGACAAGGATGTCCACTCTTACTACTACTATGCTATTTTAGAGGTTCTAGTCAGTTCAATAAGGCAAGAAAAGGTAATAAAAGGCATCTATTTTGGGAAGAAACAAAATTGTCTTTCTTTGCAGACATGATTCTCTAAGGAAAAAAAATTCAAAAGAATCTTCAAAAAACTACCAGAACTAATGAGTTTAGCAAGTTGGAAAGACATAACTTCAATATGCAAAAACCTATACTAGTTACAATCAAAAACAGATACAAAGATACTATTTACAAAGCAAAGTAGAAAATATTTAGGGATAAATCTGACAAAAGATGTGTAAGACCCACATATTGAAACTACAAAACACTGCTGAGAGAAATTTTAAAAGTCCTAAATAAGGAGAAACATATATTGTCCATGAGTCAGAGTATTCACTACTGTTAGTTTTTCCCAAGTTGATCTCTATATAGACTCAACACAACTCCAATCAAACTCCCAAAAGGTTTTGTTTTTTAGTTTGTTTTTGTGTTTGTTTTGAGTTGGAGTCTCATTCTGTAGCCTAGACTGGAGTGCAGTGGCACGCTCATGGCCACCCCAGCAACGACCTGTTGGGCTCTGGCGATTCTTCCACCTCAGCCTTCCAAGTAGCCACAGCTAATTTTTTTTAAATTTTATTGTAGAGATAAGGTCTCACCATGTTGCCCAGGCTGGTCTGGCTTGAGCCACCACACCCAGCCTGTTGTTTGTTTTTTTAAGAAACTGACCAACTTACATAGATATGTAAAGAAGCTAGCATGGGGTGGGAGGACTTTCAAAAGGAAGAATAAAGTTGGAGGGAATAACACTACTTGATGTCAAGATTTATTATAAAGTTACAGTAATCAAAACTTTGTGGTATTGGCACCAACACAGATAGATCGTTAAAACAAAATAGAGAGGCCAAAAACAGGCCCACACATATTTGGACAACTAAGTTTTGGCAAAAGTACAAAGGCAATTCTGTAAAGAAAGCAGTCTTTTTCAATAAATGGTGCTGGAACAACTGGACATCTATATTCAAAAACATAAACTTGAACCCACCTAATACCACATTTACAACTCAAGACAGATCACAGACCAAAATAGATCTTAAAACTATAAAACTTCTAGAAGAAAGCACTTTGTGTTAGGCAAAGATTTTAGATACAATGCCAAAACACACAAACCATAAAAGAAAAAGCTGATACACAGACTTAATCAAAATTAAGCATTTCTACTCCTTCAAAGAAAAAAAAATTTTTTTTTTGAGTTGGATGGAGTCTAACTCTGTTGTCCAGGTTGGAGTGCAGTTACACGCTCATGGCCACTGCAGCCTCAAATTGCTGGGCTCAGGAGATCCTTATGCCTCAGCCTTCCAAGTAGCTGGAACTACGGGCGTGCACTACCACACTCGGCTTATTTTTTTGATTGACTGTAGAGATGAGGTCTCACCAAGTTGCCTAGGCTGGTCTCAAACCCATAATTTCAGGCAATCCCCTCATCTCGGCCTCCCAAAGTGCTGGGATTACAGGCTTGAACCACCACGCCCAGCCTCAAAAAAGATGTCAAGAGAATGAAAAGATGACCCAAAGACTATGAGAAAAAGAAAATCTTTGCAAATCATGTATCTGATAAAGGATTTGTGTCCAGAATATATAAAGAACTCTCAAAACTTAGTAAGAGAGCAAAAAACTCAAAAAATAGGTAAAAGTTCTGAATTTCATCAAAAATGTTACATAATGGCAACCAAGCACAATGAAAAAGATAAAAGATATTCAATGTTATTAGATATCAGGGAAATACTAATTATAACCAATACACACCTACTATCGTGGCTAATATTAAGAGGACTGACCATACCAAGCAGTATTGTTGCATACGTGAAGAAACTGGAACTCTCATAACTGCTGGTGAGAAAGTAAAATAGTGAAAAATAATTTGGCAGTTTCTTAAGAAGTTGAACATACAAGTGCCATATGATCCAGTCATTCCACTCCTAGTATTTATTCAAGAGAAAAGAAAGCATAGGTCTTTTACGTAGGTCTTTATAAAAGTCCAAAACAACCCACACATCCATCAACAGGTGAATGGGATAAACAATTTGTGGTATAGCCATAAAATGGAATACTACTTGGCAATAAAAAGTAATGAATTATTGACAATACAGATTAATATAGATTAATTTCAAAATAACGATCCTGAGTAAAAGAAAGCAAACATAAAAAGACAGTACTGGATAACTCCATTTATACACTGTATAATTACATTTACATAAAACTCTAGATAATACAAACTAATCTAGAATGACAGCGGATCAGTGGTTGCTCAGGGAAGGGCAAGAAGGTGCAAGCAGGAGTAGGAGGAAGGGATTACAAAGAGGTATGGGAAAACTTCGGGAGGTTATAGGTATCACTATGTTTGTTATCTCGGTTGGATATTTTAATCTTGATTGTTATGATGGTTTCACAAGATATACATATGTCACAATTATTGTTATATATATTATGGACTTGGAAAAAAATGCCACTACTGGGATATGTGTGCATAAACATTTAAAACAGCCTGAAGAACCTGCAAATGGTGAACATTCTACTTTCAGACACCCAGTCCTGTGAGTGGAGGAGGTCCAAACAAAAAGACTACACTTTCATAGCTGTAAAACAGTATTTCTTAACCAGGGACATATTTTGCCCCATAGGAGAAAATTGGCAATGTCTTGAAACTCTTTCACAAATTGCACATATTTGAAGTATATAATTGGGAAGGGCACGGTGACTCACTATAACCCAGCACTATGAGAGGAGGAGGCAGAAGGATCCCTTGAGGCAAGGAGTTCAAGACCAGCCTGGGCAATAGCGCGAGACCTCATCTCTACCAATAAAAAAAAACTGTTTTATATTAGCCAGGCATGGCAGCACATGCCTGCAGTCCCAGCTATTTGGGAGGCTGAGGCGGAAGGATTGCCTGAGCCCAGGAGGTCGAGGCTATGGTGAACCATGATCATGCCACTACATTCCAGCCTGGGCAACAAAGTGAGACTCCAACTCAAATAAATAAAAATAAATAAATAATAAAAACCCATAAATTACTAAAAAACAAAAGGTTTTTTTTTAAAATTGTGTTTTCAAACTGAGGAAGCTGAGTCCTAATGACTTACATGTGTGATCTCTTAATTTACGTTTTAAATTTCCATGACCCCCATATGGAAAAAAAATTTTCTATGCCAAAGAAGTATATATAAATCATTCCTTAGCCATTCTATAACTAAAGAACCATGGTAGTTAATTTAGGAAAGTTCAATACTCTACTGGAACTCAACTTTATAGCTCTGCCAGTACCCAGCCTACAGCTTGTCCCAAGTAGGTGTCAAGTTCCATGAAGTGTTCAATTTCAAACTGCCATGATCTGTGATACAATTCCTACATTCACACACTTTCCATGTCCCAATCTCTCAGTCAAATCTTGTCTTCAATGACAAGTCGCAAGAAGCATGAAAATAAAAAGATGAAAATCTCTACAATAGATTTATATTTTCTTAAAAACAGCTTTTTATATTGCTAAGCTGGATTAATTACTCTTACTTTTCTACTACTCTTTATTTGTAATAAAGATTAGCTGTCATAAATGAAGAGGAATAAAAAACAACTGCAGACATGAAATCTGGGCTCCAGTTCTGACTCAGCCTCCCAATAGCTGGCTGACTACTTTATGTTCCCAAATTTCAGCTTTCTTACTTGTGAAAAATAGAAGATAACAATATTTATCTCTAGGGTTATTATCAAGGATTAATTCTGATACTTTAAGTAAATCACTTTGTAAACAGTAAAGCACAACATAACTGTGGGCATTACTGGTGGCATCCTTGTGGTATAAGTGAACAATATAGTAGAAAAACATGCACCTTAAATAAGAGTTTAGTTTTATTACTAAATAAACATCACTTTTCAAAACAAATACTCATTAGGAAGACAGCTTAAGATAACAAACTGAACTAGAATTCAGGTATCTGGGTTTTAACCCCAGTTCTGCCATTAACTTTATGTATCAACACAGGCAAACTTTCCTTTTAATCACAAATTTCTTCGACTTAAAAATCCAAATACTAGACGAGACGTTCCATAAGTATTATCACAGCCCTTATCAACCTACTAAATGACCAAGTATCCAGAAGATTCATTTAGTATTATATTCAAAACTCAAGCACTGTTTGGTCTGCCAGCAGAACAGAACTTGAGGACAGCAGGTGGCTAAAAATAATTAAACAAATAATTATTTTTAAAATTAAAAAAATAATTAAGGAAAAATGAATTCTGTACAATTACTGAGAAGCAAAGGATGCGATAAACTACCTTCTTTTCTATAATTAATAGTCCTTCCTCTAAATGACAGTAATGATGAACAAGGTGCATTAGCAAAAGGGCGAGGCTCTTCCCCACAAGCATTTTGGGAACCACCCACTTCCCAAAGAGGTGTAACTGCTTCCTTCTTGCCCTCATCTGCCAAGAAACTTGAAAGATAAAGGTTTATATTGTCTGAGAGAGGATCCTGCTTTTTTTCCCACTTGGGTGGGGATGGCAGTAGTCATCTGGCAAACATATTCTGGAAACACCATTACCCACAACACCAGGTCTCCCCAAACTCTTAAAGAGCTAAGTTTCTAGAGAAATACTATTTTTCAAAAATACTGTTTTTTTAGGACTATCCACCCCAAATCAGACAACCCTGGGTGACGATAATCAGTGTTTGCCAACTGCCAAGTTTTTCCTTCCCCAGATTGTCCGCCCTCCCGCGTCTCCGCACAGGCAACCCTCTGCGCTCTACTCCTGCACCGCGCCAGGTCCCGAGGGAGAGTCCCCAGGGACTCCCGGGGCGGGGGCGGTCCGGGAAGGCCGGGCAACCCAGGCCTCGAAGCCGCCACCCCTCGCCGCTCACCGATGACGATGCGCAGGTGCTTGAGGCGGGTCAGGGCGTCCTTCTTGGTGTCCAGCACCTTCTGGGTGGACTTCTTCACGTCCCCGTGCGGCTTCTTGGAGAACATTCTGCCGCCGCCGCGGCCGGCTGCCGGCCGAGTCCCGGCAGCAGAAAGTGGAGGGAGTGTGCGGGGAGGAGACTAGTCCGAGCAGCTCATTCGCCGCCCAGGCTCGCGGGCCCCGGCCGAGCCGGCTGCTCTCCGACCCAGGCCACGGCCGTCCCCTCCCCCAGCCTCGCGCCGCGGCTCCAAGGCACCTTCGGCTCCGGCTCCAATATGGCGGATCCGCTCCCCGGGCCCTGCACCCAGCG